GTGTGTATGTGTGTGTGTGGATAAATATGATGTGTGCATGTGCACACATTATTCAGATATGCACATATACACGTGTATGTGTGTAGGTATACACCTGTGCATTTATGTATGTGCATGTGTAGTGCAGTGTGTGTCTTCCCCCCACCCCCTTTGGCTAGTCTCTCTGTATAATGTCTGAATAGGCCCCTCCTACGGTTGATCTAGGAAGTGCCCCCGCGTTGCTTCCCCGCCGGGGCCCCGCCCCGGTGCCAGGCAGTGCTGAGGTGTCCGTAGGCGCCGCCTTCCGGCCGAGATCGGAACCTGGGCGCTGCGGCGCAGCTCGCGCGCTGGAGGGAGCTGGGGCGGGGCTGCCACGCCTCTGCCCAGGACTACATTTCCCAGCGTGCCCTAAGGCACCCTGGCGGCGCCGGAAGGGGGTGTCCCATTGCTTCCGGCCCTGGGGCGGCGGCGCGAGGTTGCCCCAGGTAGGTGCCGGGGAGGGCGGTTAAATCCGCTGGGCGGCTGGCGGCGCTCCTGGCGCCTTCTGTGTGCGGGAGCCGCTGTCGTGTGTGCACGTGTGCAGGAGCCGCTGTCGCCCCCGGCGCGCGGTGCCATCGGCTCCGCCCCGTGACTTTGAGGGTGTGCGATGGGGGGAGGAGACGAGTGGGGGCCTTTCGGCCGCGCCAGCCCCGTGCAGGGACACGAGGGTGAGGACCACGAGCTGGCCCGGGTCCGCCTAGCAGGACGGAGGGGTGCCCTTGGCAGCCGGTCGTGGCTGCCCCCTCCACAGCCTTCCAGCCACCTGGGAAAAAATGGCTTAGGCTTTATTTTTAAGGCTTCACTGCCACGTCCCCATGGTCGCGGGGTGAAGGACCCGGTCCAAATTGTTAACATCAAATGAAGAAACCCTGGGTGGACTGGCTGAGCCTGCAGCAGGGAAGTGTTTCCCAGCTGCAGCTGCCATGGAAACCATGCTTTGTCCTCTCCACATCTCTGTAAAGAGTAGTTCTTTTCCACAACAAAGGAATATTGTTTTTATCCGGTCAATAAATGCAGGCTAGCGCGGGTGTTCGTGACCAGCATTCGAGAGCCCTCGTCAAACTGCACAGTGTAAAACACTCTCGTTTTGTAACTTAAAGATCTCTGACTTCCAAGTTGCTGATCTGTCAGTCTCCTGAACAGTGATGAAACCTGCTCTTTCAGAAGAGTGACCTGCAGTAGAAAGGATACCATCTCTCTCAAGTACTTCTCCAGTAGCCATTTTCTGTTGGCTTGCAGCATGGCAGCAGCATGGAAGAGGGCTACATTGTTTGGCAACATGTGGCTGCGTTTAGCAGCATTCACTAGACAGGCTACAGTACACAGTAAGTAATGTTGGTATATAAAAACCATATATTTAAAAGAGTAGGAATGTTTCTAAGATTTTGCTGTTAGCATTTAGTTTGGAGTATGATTCAAAGCAACACAAACCTGGAGATGATCATTATGTGTGCAGACAGAAGGGCCATTTCTAGCCATATCTGGCCACGAAAAGCAGTTCATAGCTGTGACCAAACACCAGTATAAGCTGCACAGCTTTGAAAATGGCCAGTTGGGTGAAATGCTGACCCCTCATTGCATGAGGTGTCTGATAAAGACGTTACAGAATGTAGTGTCTTTTGTAACTTGTGTTTGTGGACCTCCCAGCCTGTCTGTTCTCAGACTGAGAGGCGGGGGAAAGGGAACAGAGGGAGTTCAGTCTGGGGGGTTTTCAGCCCCTCCCCCCCCAAGGGTGGGGCAGGTGTATTACAGCTCCCCAAGGTTAGGGGCTTCTAATTCACCCATCTCAGCCTTCACACCAGCTGAGGAGCCCCAAGAATGAGCTCTGCCTGCTGCCTTCCCCACCCCTGCCCCCATTCTGAAAACAGCCACTGCTATGGGAACCTGGCTGTAGGCTCCCAGCCCCAGCTAGAGTCCCCTCTCCCCTGGAACCAACAGTGAACTTCTGCATGGTCCAGAATAACCTTGTAACTTAGAACGCTTTGCAAAAATCAGTCTGAGGTGCAGCTGGGAGCTGCACTTCTGTCTGCACCCAAAATTGCAACTTGGTAAAATTAAATATTACTCATGGAGAAAATATTCTTTGGTGAGAGATTTTTTTTTTTATTTGTTTAAACTTGGTTTTCCTTGAGGTGTCTAGTGTCTGCCTGTCAGCTGTATTTGTTATGGGCTTTCTGCCTGATTATTTCTTGGGAATATAAGTCAGCATGTGAAGCAGAGGAGCAGTAAAGTTCCTCTGTGCTCTGGTGCTCTTCATTTTGGGCTCCGTCCGGGCTATGCTGGCAAAAGGCAAGTTTTGACAGTAAAATTTTGCGTAGTAAACCGGGCTGAGCTTTTGGTGTTTGTGCTGACTGTTCTAATCCTATGTGGGAAGTAAGATACTTGCTTTTACACATTTACTCTTTTAGTAAGAAATGAAATTGTTAGATTAGAATAGCTGTGGGCAGGTAGTTTTTTCATGATTCTCTTCAGAGACTAGTAAGAAATGTGGGACCTTTATTCTTTGGCTAATTTCTCATGATTTTATGTATATCTAAGTACAGTTTTTATGATATTAGAATAATGTCTTGAAAAGGCCTTTATTTAAAAATAAACTTCAATTCAGATTACTGTTACGCAGGCTTTTTGGTGAATAATCCTCAAAATGGCAGCATACTGAAGACACAAATTGTGAAAAGGAACTACGGATGTTGAAGGGTCCATGACACGAGCTATAGAAATTATGGGTTCTTATCCTGCAGTCTTGCCAGACCTCACAGAAAATAACACTGCACTAACCCATTAATTACCATTGAGCAGCATACAACAGAAGAAGTAAAGAGAGGTTTTGCAACAGCAGCAAAAAGGGAGAATACGATTTTATACCATACCAAATACCAAATTATTTTTTTAAAGGAATACTTGGAATTGAGTGTTGTTTATAATGGATAACAAACTGTTAATATAAGAATATGTCTGCATACAATAATGTTCTTTTTTGATCATAAAAGGACCTTATTTAGGGATACAAGATATTAATATGGTTGGCCTTTGTTGTTTTCATACAGCCTTTTCAGTACATATCCTTATGCTGTCCTAACTCTTGGATATCATTTCTGTGATGCACATTTCTAAAGTACTCAGTGGGATAGTATCACACTAAGATTGAAATACTGGTGAGGTGATTCAGGTGTCTAAAACTGAGCAGTTAAATGTAAAATTGGATCCAGTCATCTCTGGTCAAAAGCTTGCTTAATTCAAAGAACAGATGTAAATTTGCAGGTCTGACTTTAGCTGCAGGTTCACCAGTTTTCATGTGAGTTATATTATTTGTTTTTACAGATGGAGCTGTGCAGTGTGCTCGCCATAAATATTCATTGGTCCCAGAAGACTATAACTGGTACATACTCAAAGCTATTTTTATCTGCTGCAGAGTTCTCTTGTCACCTTTACTTATAGATATATTTCAGAATAATTTGCTCTGCCTATTCTTCACTTGTGCTAATTTCTTTTATAACAGGCTGAAGAACATGATATTGGTCTAGTCATTTTCAGAAGAGCTTCATGGTTAGCCATAATATTAAAACAAAATGAACCAAATGAAATGAATGCATAGTCATCTTACTGAATACAAAGAAGGCCTCAATGCCTTTACTCATGTTTGGTAGTTCTGTCAAAAAGACTAGAAGAGTAAAATTTAAGTGTGGTCAGCTTATCTGCTGCTTCTCCATTTTAAGGCAATATTGTGGCACTTTCATGCTACAGTTTGCAGAAACTCTAAGTAACAAAAAGTAGGCACTAAAATTCTTATACTGAGTGTAAAGACTCAGTGGGAAAGGAAAGAATAGAATCGAGATCATCCCCTCTGATTGAAATTACCAGGATCTAGAGAGGGAAGATAAAACTAGCACCTCCCTTCCACCAGCTTTAACGTAGTGTGACATGCATGACAGGTTTTACACAATATGAAAGATAGTCTGACAATCCTACTTCCCTTTCCTTTCCACTGTATTAGAATTAGAGATTGTGGATTTCTTACTAACCATCTGCCCCTTTGACTTCACCGGTACGGGACTAACAGCTTTATAACTCTGTATCTGTAGTTGCTTAAGTGTTTTATAGATTTTTTTCAAGCTTTCTTTCAAATGCTTTTAGGTGGGGAAAAATACAATAATGATATAGAGAAAAGGAAGATGGCTAGAGACTATTCTACAGGGGGGAGTCCCTGTTCCCCCGAGCGCTGCAAGGAGTGACCAGGAACAATGGTCACAAGCTGGCGTAGGGAAGGTTTAAGTTGGACATCAGGAGGCGCTACTTCACGGTCAGGGCGGCTAGGGTCTGGAACCAGCTTCCAAGTGAGGTGGTGCAGGCTCCCACCCTGGGGGTTTTTAAGAGGAGGTTGGATGACCACCTTACTGGGGTCATTTGACCCCAGTGCTCTTCCTGCCATGGCAGGGGGTCGGACTAGATGATCTGCTCAGGTCCCTTCCGACCCTAGAAACTATGAAACTACACTTCATCCTTCTACTGAGTACAATTTTCATGGGTACCTAGGCAACTCCAGACCGTGAATTATACTGGCTTTTAGGCCACTAAATCACTCACCCTGCTTGGAAAAGTTTATTATCTAAAATTTAAAAAAAAATTGTACACTTAGTTATGTACCTTCAGTAATGGGAACCTTTCAACATTTAACTGGTCAGTGGGTCTGTGACAGATTCTTCAGAGTGCTTTCTCCTCAGGGGTGGATCGTAGAAGAATTGGGGGATAGGCTGATCACAATAACTTTTCTTTATCTTTTTATAGCAAAGTGGACCTTGCCTTGACGTCAGACAGGAGGACAATTGTCTGCCACCATCCTTCAGTTGAGATTCCATATGAGCATACAGAAGTGAGTTCAAATTTCAACAGTTGTTTCCTGTTCTTGTGAAAGCAAAGGATTCTTACTTGAATCTTGCATTCTTTGGGGCTGTTCATTTATTTACCTTTTTATATAGCATATCACAACACTTTATTATGCTATCCTTGTGGTGTAAATTATGAATTTTATTACCACTAAGGAGATCTTTCCCCCCCTGATTTAACTGGTATGATAACTAAGTGCTTGGATGCTGTGGCAATGGATGCAGTTTATAAGCTTGGCTAGAACAGACCAGTACACTCTTCCAACCTGCTATGGATTCTTTGTAAGGCTTTAGCAAGGTCCCTACTTTTCATTGCATTACAGTTTCTATGTGAAATTCACTCCCATGAATGCAAGCAGTACGAATCATATTCTGCTTATTCCATGTACCTGTAGCTGTGGTGAAGAAATTTGTATTCAAGGGAGAACAGGCAAGAATACTGTTGAGCTCTCCTGTCCTTCTGGTACCTTTTAGATTCTGTCCAGGACTCTGCAGGAGCTAAACTGCATTCCAAATGTGTTTGAAACGCATCCTTCTTTCCAATGGTTGTGTCCTTTGTGTCTTCCTTGCATTCATTCAATGCTGACATTAGTAAAATAGATTAATGTTTTTTTCACCTTCCAGTTGTCAATACTAGCAAAATGATGGATTGCAAAGCTTTCTAGGGCATGGATACCTTTTTAAAAACTTGATTCTAAGAAATATTAAAACACTTCTATGGTAGTGTAAGAGTAGTGTTTTAACCATGTTGGTCCAGAAATTATGCAGGAGGCAGGGATTTCTTACCATAACGTCTTTTACTGGACCATGTAACAGTACGAGGTTGGGCGTCATATTAGCACCTTCCTCTGCTCCTCCACTCCTGCCTCACTGGTCCCTGAGCCCTTCTCCCTCAGGTAGTCGGCCCCAGACCCCAGGGGACTCACTGGTCTAGGTCCCATCACTCTTTTCTTCTTAACACTCAATGCCTTAAAGCAGGGACGGGCAATTATTTCAGGCTGATGGCTACTTACTGAGTTCTGGCAAGCCATCGAAGGCCACATAACAGGCAGCTAGGGGCAGATAATTTTATTAATTTTCTAAATTTTTTAGGAGCCTCACGGACTGGATAGAATGGACTGGCGGACCGCATCCAGCCACATTTTGCCCACCCCTGCCTTAAAGGCTGTATTTCTGGGCTCGGACTGCCCCTAAAGCCATGCCCATGTCTTACAGGTGTTGATAATCAGTTATTTCAATGGGCTCTCAGCCCCAAGTCCAATCTCTTGTTTCTCCACTCCCTTATATTTTCAAGTCCTATCCCTCTCAGATGGTGGGCC